TTATTGAAATAAATAGTTTATAAAATTTAACTAAAGATTCCTCCGAGTAACTTTTAAATCGCCCCACTCGTATCCCGTTCCCTATAACGCCTAGGATCGCGCAAGGTCCAGTCCCGGGTAAAAAGGATTAAGTTCCTTGACTTAAAAAAGTAGGACCAACATTCGCACTGTCCATCGGAACAGGTGTCCTAGCGTCCCTCCAGGACGTTGACCCACATTCCGGGACGTAAAAGGGTGCTAACGACTCACAGCTGTACGCTTCCGTGCGTATACCTGTGAGATTGAGTCAACCGTCCTCTCCATCTTCCTTCTCTCTCTCTCTTTCTCTCTCACCAAATAATCAGGGTTGGACGTAACAGCACATTTCAACATATTCTTATTCTCTAAAACATATTTGTAAAATTCTTGACAAGTAAATGAATAATTTATCTTAATTTGTAGTTCTGCTTTTACATGTTCTATAAGTAATCTATTTCTGTTATCACTCCAGATATTATTACATCTGGAGACACTGGTAGTGTCTCGGCGCTAAGCTAGGTGCAGCGACACTGCCGTGCTTCCTTTACGCGAACCGACGAGTTGCGCCAGATCGAGGTTATCGGATCTCAATAACGGCTGAACCGATCGCGTTCTATGTACGCTCAATCGATAGCCACCATATGGATTGTATGATAAAAATGCTTTTATTTTTTTTCTACGTGCACTATGAGCGGAGATATCGCGACGCAAAGTTCCGAACTGCTACTTTTTCAGTTCAGAATCAGATACGTCGTCCTTATTGTCATTGTCGTCGACCACATTCCGCGCATTCCTTTGGTGTCCGTCTGACATTCTTTACGCAAGGAGCGCTAGTTTCGTGTCCTTCTGACATTCTTTACGCAAGGAGCGCTAGTGATATACATACATCATAAGCGAGTGCTGCGATCTGTAGACACGACAATTATTAGGGTACATTTCCATGAGCGCGTCGCGTCGTCCACCACGTCACGACGCGACGCGAAAGAGAGAAAGAGAGAGGTATAAACTTCACTCTTTCTCTCTTTCGCGTCGCATCGTGACGTGGACGGTGGATACGTACCTACCCTTAGTGTATACACTTTTGATTAGATTAGTCCGTCACATCGATGGAATTAGAGGCACACGTAAGTGATTTTCTGCTTCTGCAATACATTTTAGACTTACTCGACACGTTTTTGTATGGAATGAAAGAATCTGGCAAAAAATTACCCCGTGGACCGAAATATTAGTCGTTAAAGTTGATGACTATTCAGGTTAGGAAATCCGTCATATTGATGGTAGCATAGATTACAGCAGAGTACTGTTTTGTTTAATCCTTTATGCCATCGATGCAACAGATTGCCTCTGGATATCTGTCAACTTTAATTAATAACAATTAATAACTCGGTTCGCGGGGCAAATTTTTCATGTAGTGCAAAAATGTGTCGAAAATGAGTTTATTTTATCAACCTCGAGGAGGTAAGGATCATATGCATTTCTTGTCGAGGTTTCCTTATGTAAAGGAAAGCCTTTTATTAATGAATCTATCCAGAAAACGTCAAGAAAATTTTTCTCAAATGGAATTTACGAAAAGATGTTTGGAATGTCAAATTCACGTATGGTTTACATGTCTGTTTATCTGCAACGAACAATTTCCCAAGTCTGTCAGGAGTTATTGCGTATATGTAATAAACACAAGCAATATTATATTTTATTCCTTCCGTAAATTATGTAATTATTATTATGTACGATGCTTTTTTACGAAATTCATTTTCAGGTATTATTGAAAATGGGACTCGTCAACTTTACCTCAACTGACTAGACCATTAAAAACTTTGTTTTTGAAAGCTGGACCAGTTTTTTGAAACATTTTGATTAGGAACAAAATTTGGGACTTTGTCAAATTCACGTATGGTTTACATCTATGTTTAACTGCAACGAATTTGTTAACTAAGTTAGGACACAATAATGAAAAAATTTATAATTAATATTTAATATGAAAATAAGAATTTTTTTTACAGTAACATGAATGTATAAGAAATTCATTGTTTCCTAACTTAGTTAACAAATTCGTTGCAGTTAAACAGAGATGTAAACCATACATGAATTTGACAAAGTCCCAAATTTTGTTCCTAATCAAAATGTTCCAACAAACTGGTCCAGCTTTCAAAAATAAAGTTTTTAATAGTCTAGTCAGTTGAGGTAAAGTCCCACCAATTTTCAATAATACCTGAAAATGAATTTTGTAAAAAAATACATAATAATAATTAGATAATTTGCGGGAGGAATAAAATATAATATTACTTGTGTTTATTGCATATCGTGTAGAACCACCATTTGGGCCGGTTTCACCAACGTCAATTACTTAATCAGCCGTGGAACTGATGACTAATCGCGTTTACTGTTTAGTAGAATTGACCACTTACGGTTGGCAGTGAATCACCGATTAGGATTAATCGAGTTGATGATACCTTTGTATATATGATCGTATACAAATTTACCTTTTTAAAAAAAGGTAAAAGAAAGCGCTAAGCGTGTGTGTTTCTCGTAAAGAATCACCATTTGGGCCAGTTTCACCAACGCCAATTACTTAACCGGCCATGAAACTGATGACTAATCACGTTTGCTGTTTAGTAGAACTAAACTAATTACACGTTTGCTGTTTAGTAGAACTTCTCGTAAAGAATCACCATTTGGGCCAGTTTCACCAATGCCAATGACTTAATCGGCCGTGAAACTGATGACTAATCACGTTTGCTGTTTAGTAGAAAATCTTTAAAACATTATACAAAACATTATCACAAAATCGCGTTACCTTGCTCAATTTAAGTGTTACCACAAAAATTAAAGAATTAACCGTATAAAATGATTTTATATCAACAAAATTGGCGCCAAGTTAAATTCATCAAAATTTTATCAAAATTTTATGTATTATTCGTAAAAAAGATTTGATATCAACAATTGGCGCCAAGTTAAATTCCATGTAATTCGAATGCTGTTTAGTAGAACTAATGATAAGTATCATTTGTATAAAAGATTTGATATCAACAACTGGCGCCAAGTTAAATTTTACCATTTTGACAATCTTGCATTTCGCGGG